TGAACCAGAATCTAAGAACCTTTTTCCCCAAGCAAGAAGAAAATAAATTTGCATTTTGGAACAAAATAAGAAATGTCGATTATATGTATCAGATATTGTCTGCTATCCAAAAGAGATAGGTATGCAAGGCAAGCCTCAGTGTGCAGTCTGGAAAAGTATGTCATGAAAGGTGTCAAGCCTTCTGCCTGGAGCTAGTTCTGCATAGTTTCCAAATAGCATTTTTATCTTTTAATTATGTAAAAAAGTCACAATGACAGAAATCCACTAGTGCATGAGATAGAATCACATTCTTCTCTGACCATTCCTGAAATACATGCAGGTTTTAAAACATATGGTAGTACACAGAGGTCAAGTCCTAGAAAGGCTTGAATTTTCTAATAGTAGAAAGATAATGGTGGTGGTGGAATCCCATATATTACCATAGATAGACATGGGAAGACTCTGATCTTCTAAACTATGAATCTCATCAAAGGCCAGGACTATCTTATTCAAATTAGATGTGTAGGAGTTTGCACAATATTTATCACATAGTTCATTAAATGTTGGTTGAGTAAATGAATGGATAAATAATTGCTGCCTCAAACAGATGAACACTGTTTATTAAGTTTTATTTATTTTTGTTATTTGTTTTATTAATTATAGTGTTTTCTTCCATGTTCTCCCATAGTATTCACAACCCAGGAGAGCACGGGAAGTAGGAGGGAGTATTCCACAGCTATAAGACTCAAAGAATTTTTACAGTCCTGCTGGTTTGAAAACCACTGCTCTAATGATTATTGGTTTTTAAAAATGGGGAAAAATCTAAGCAGAATACTATACCATGCATGCCTTCACTCCTTCAGCTCCTGTCATCACAGTGGTCACCAATGATCTTAAGACTGACAGCATTACTGGCTTACTATTAATCTTATGTGACTTGCACATTTTCATCATTCGACATTGTTAACCACTTGAAACTTTCTTATCCTTTAGTTTCCATCATAATACTTTCTTGATTCTTCTCTTCCCTCTGTAGACGGTTCCCTCTCTTCTTCACTAGTTACCCCTCCTCTAACTGCCTGGACTATCTGCATGTTCTCCAGTGTTCCATCATTATTTGTCTTGTTCTCTCACTCTACTATCCCTGGGAAATCTCATCTAGTGCTCCCTCTCCCAGCCTTAATTCCCACCGCAGGCAACTCTCAAAATTATATTTGTGACCCCAACTTTTCTCCTACACTTTAGAGAATTATTTCCAGTTGTCTATTATAAATTATTAATGTCTCCTTCAGACTCCTCAAACTTAATATTTCTAACTCTGAACTCATACTCTCCTCCCTCCCTTTCCCTACCTCCATCCCTGACATGCTCTCATATATCCAACCTGCTCTAGCCCTATATTCTAAGTCTTTGTAATTAATGTGACTTTCATAAGCTAAAAATCTTAATATTGTCCCCAATTTGTTTGTTCCTCAACAATGCATTGCTCCTCAGCCAGATGGCCTCCAGTTCAATAACAAAATTCCACATTTAACTTTTGCTCTTATTCCTTTATCTACCATCTTAGCCTAGTTCCTTCCTGTTTCCTTGTTTTCCTGCCATCATTCTCCCTACTGGAGTCTATTTCACATAATGCCACCCAAGTATCTGTCAAACCTAAATAACCATATCATAATTTTGTCTTTAAAAATTTACTTCTAATAGTTCTTTATGTCATTGGTTAAAATTCAACTCTGAGGTTACCCCGTTCCACAATCTGGTTGCAACCCCGACTCTCCATCTTTTTCTTTTGCCTCACCCACTTGAGCTGCTTTCCCCAAAGTGTACACTCCGGACACTCCAAACTTCTCACATTCCCTAAAGAGGCCATGCCCTTTCACCTCTGATTCCCACAGCCTGGAATGTCCTTCACATCAAATCCACAAATGCTTATTTAGGCACCTACTATGTACCAGACACTGTACTTGGGCCTAAAAAACAAAAATAAGATAGAGATCCTTCTGCCAATGAGTTCAGAGTCCAGTAGTAAGACAGGCATATAAGCAAATAATGATAATGTACTGTAATAAAAACAAAATAGAAATATATACAAAGAACAGAGGTAGCACAGAGGAAAGAGATTAACTCTCTGGAGGGAGAGATGAACAAGGGAGCATGTCAGAGTCTAGATGGATGAGGTGGGGAAAGACAAGGCAAGCACAGCCTGGAACACTGAGGCATGAAAACTTCACATTTTCAGGAAGCATTAAAAGCCTCCACTTTTTTTTTTTTTTAAGATTTATTTATTTATGCATACAAGAGCTGGAGTACAGGCCGGAGATGCAAAGGGGGTAACAGGATTCACCAGAGACAGAGCAGGGGACAGAACAGGCAGACTGACTGAACTACACTGCTGAGGGGAGCAGCAGGAGAGACAGGAGAGGTCTGCTGTGCCATGTGGGTTGCTCCCTGGCCGGCCAGGGATTGAACTCGAGCTGCAGCAGTTGCAGATTGCTTCATAGTGCGGTGCTTAACCCCTTGCGCCACCAGGGAAGCCAAAAGCATCCACTTCTAATTGCAGAAAGATAATATGCAATGGAGGATGAGCTGTATACTAAATAAATGAGTAAATTGGTAAATTTCATGGCATGTGTTTTTTTTAACCACAATTAAATTTGTTTTGATTACATAAAAGAAATGCAATGGGGAGAGTATCTGAAGACCAGACTGGAACAAGCAACTGCCCATTGTCCCTCCTTTTCATCTGGAAAGCTTCTCATCTGTTAAGATCTCATCTGCAAAATATCCCTCCTTTGTGAGCCCTATGTAATTCCCTCAGCCTGTATTCCTTTCCTGTGCTCTCCCCGAGCACTCATATAGACCTCTGTTAGGTCTAGCAGAGTGCTTACCATGTGTAGGCAATTGTTTTTTGCTTACTCCTGTGTTTCCTCAAAAACACTATGAGTTCCTTGAGAGTCGGCACTATTACTTATATAGTGTACCCCAATACCTTTACAAGATTTATTTATTGAATGATTCACTATTAATTAGCCACAAATCAGACATGACACTAAGCACTTTACATGTTGGATCCTTTCACCCTTACAGCTATAGAAGGGTTGATGTTCTCATTTCCAATTTATAGACAAGAAAACTGAGATAATGAGATGCTAGGTTCTTGCCAAAAGTCACACAATAGTCGCTAGCTGAGATTCAAAGCCAGATGGAAGTCAAATGGAGATTTTAATGATAAATAAAGCAACCAATTAAAAAAGTTGCCAGAAAGGGGCCTCCTTGGTGGTGCAGTGGTTAAAGTCTAAGCGTTCTCAAGCTATCGCCAGCCACTGTGGCATGAGCTAACCCACATGGCACAGCAGACCTTTCCTGTCTCCCTGCTGCTCCCCTCAGCAGTGTATTTCAGTGGATCCACCTGTTCTTCTCCCCACTCTGTAAATCCTCTCACCATCCCCCCACCCTCTGGCCTAGGGCCCAGTTCTTGTATGCATAAAAAAAAAAAACTTTAAAAAAAAAATAGTTACCAGAAAGCATGGTTTCTGGAATGTTGAGACTTAGCTGGAAGAGTTGGCCTTGTAGCTATCAGGATGTATGCTATCCACCTTGCTGAAGTAATTTCATTTAAAATAATTTCATCCTCATGCAATCTCTATGAGAAGTAAATACCTCACTGAAGAAACCTAGGTTTAGGAAAGTTAAATTTCTTGACCCAAATTACATACCTTGTGAGAGGCAAGGCCATAAACCAATATCTCTTCTATCTTTCTCACTTGGTTCTCACAGAAAAGTGGAAAGATGACGATAAAGAAATTTGAGATAGAGAAAAGATTATCCAAAGGATCTTATCAATGAGTTAGACTACTTAGCCAAGCAATCTGGGTGAATTTAAAAGCCTGGGGAAATATGGGGATAACCATTGTGATGAATTTTATTTTTTTAAAGGTCAGCTAAAAATTAAATAAATAGAGTTAGCATCAGTTAGAGCCAAGTCAGATAAGAGTACATGAATTTGTGATGATCCTATAAGCACATTTTTTAAAACTTTATTTAGCATTTTTTACTATCTCAGGAACAAAGATATTGTTGGGGATTGTCACACTGTGAGCGGTGGGCAACTGCAGGGCTTGGGAGATCACTGAGGGGAAGGAAGGACTCAAGGAGTTGCAGAAATGGCTGATTATGGATTCCAGTCTCAGGAACTGAATATAACCCCAGATGTCTCCATCAGTTCAGGCTGCCATAACAAAATACCATCTACTGGGTGACTTAAACAAGAAACATGTATTTTTCACAGTTCTGGAGGCTAGAATTTGAGATTATGATGCCAATAGGGTCTGGTTCTGTAAGTGTGGCTCACATTCTTCCCAAAGAAGAGGGCTCTGTGCTCTCCAACCCCTTATAAGAACAATCTCATCCTGGGTTTCATCCACATGGCCATATCCAACCCTCCCAAGGGCTCCATCTCCAAATGCCATCACATATCAAATACCATTACCTCCAAATACCATACCCATCAATTTTGCAGACAGAAAAATATTCAGTCCAAAGCACCATGCAAATTAAATTACATCCAGCCATCTTCCTGTAACAAACCTGAGCCCTCTCAGCTGTATGGACTGGTATCACTATTAACCCATGACTACTGATCCCCAATATGGCTTTTATGCTACCTAGCAATTGTGGATCACTTCCTAAGTCTCTCACTCACTCTCCCACTCCCTTCATCATCACTCTTGTATGATGACCTTACTTCCTGCTGACCCTACCTTCTCTTGAGTTCACATCCCCATTCAGTTTGAGGTACCACCACCTATGTGCCTTATAGAAAAGCTCCTCAAAAGAATTACTGTTCTCATGCTCAAATTCCCCTACTCCTGTTTTCTTCTGAGTCCTCTCACTGCTACACTGAAACTGTTTCTGTCCAATACACTAATGATCTTCATGTTGTCAAAGCAATAACCCATCCCCATGCCTCATCTTCTGGACCTGTCAGCATTTGACACAGTTGATGTCTTTCTTTCTTTTTGGGGGGGGTTGGGGGGGTGGGGAGGGTGGAACTTTGCCTTCCAGAACACTGTATTCTCATTACTTTTTTTCCTTTCCCAAAACTGTTCCTTCTTTGTCTTCTTTGCTGATTCATTCTTATCACCTTCAACCAAAAGTCATTCATATTTAGTGACTTTAATCTTAGAATAAATTATGTGGCTCATTTTGCAACAGACAGGACTTTCTGATTATATCTTCTTATCTTTAACTTCATTAGCTTTTATTCTCGGAGCATTATGCCAAATGGATAAAGAAGGAGCCTCGGAGGAATGCTAGGTGGTGCAGGGAAGCCATTTGGGGACGGCTGGGCCTCATCTCCACATAGATAATCCAGTTGCTCATGGGTGCTTGTGTGTCCTCTTTGTTGTAGTGTGTTCCTGCCATCCAGTTGGATCAGCTGTCCTTCCTTTCAGCTCAGTGACCTTCTGTGACCCCAGCAATGGTGACTGCCCTTGCAAGCCTGGGGTGGCAGGGCCACACTGTGACAGGTGTATGGTGGGATACTGGGGCTTCGGAGACTACGGCTGCAGGCCCTGTGACTGCGCGGGCAACTGCGACCCCCTCACAGGAGACTGCATCAGCAGGTGAGTGTAAGGCCTCTGCTCTCTTCTCTGTGTCTTTTGGATTCCTTGAAGATTTGGTAGCGATTTGGAAAATCTTCTTTGCTGTTAGGAGAGCCAAGATGTATTTGCATAACTCTTTAAAGAATTTTTGTCAAATTGCCAAGCAAGTAGTTTGTTCCTGCAAGATTTTGGAGACGGTCTAGTTCACTTTAGCAAAATAAATTATTCCTTACCACAGGCCCTTCAAACATTATTTCTGAAAAGCAAAAGGATGGGAAAGTAGCTGATAAGGTTTAAATCCCTATAAATACGTTCATTTCAGGCAATTTTCTAAGAAGTTCCTTACTCTATTCTTCATCATTTTCCATTTAATTAGCAGTACAGACATAGACTGGTATCAAGAAATTCCTGAGTTCCATTCCATGCACAATAAGAGCGAACCAACCTGGGAATGGGAAGATGAGCAAGGATTCTCTGCCCTTCGACATTCAGGTAAGACCACAGATATAACCAGGTATCATGTCCCCAGCACTGGTAATAGTGAGTAATAGTGATTTGTGATAAAGTAGGGAATGATTTTTTAGTTCTACGATGGGAATTTTATAGTTCTGAGTTTTAATAAAGTAGTGGTTCCCATCAGTATGAAAACACCAAACATAGCTAAGAGATATTTTAACAAGCTTTTGTTTATTTTCTGTTTATTAGACCCAATTGTGAGATCCTTACTAGGTATATAATTAGTATAGAAAATTTGGAAGATGAAAGACATCACAGTAAAAAGAAATGCTACCCAAATCTCCTTACTCTGCTGTTAATACTTTAGTATGTGTTCCTTTCTCTACCGCACACTGTTCTACATGGTTGAGAGATAACTGAATAGATCAGGTTTGGAAATGTGCAGATCTGTTTGAAGGGAAAATATTCTACAGACCTATTGTAACTTAATATGCACGTGAAGTTAGATGTGAACTCTTTAGGTTTCTAACTAGTTTACAGCTAAAAAACAAATAATTTACAAACTAAGGATAAGCCAAATAATGAAAAGAAAAACTTCAAACTAACGACGTAAGTTGAACATGAAAAATGTATTTCACTGAAGTCAAAAGAGTTTACTGCAAAAAATATGGTTCTTTGAGTTTACCAAGTCTATGCTGCTATTTTTTTTGGACTCAATTTCTTTGTCTCTTTCTTTGTTTGAAGAGTATGCTATGATATTGATGTGAATACTTAACTTCTGTGTTCATTCTGCTGCATTCTTTTCTCACAGAAAATTGAACAGCTCTATTTAGCACTAACACAAACACAAATGTGGGCATGAAATCTTGTACCAGTGTTTGGTTGTAAAGTACTCACCAAATGACTCAAGTTCAACTTACAATAAGTTAAAATTTACTATTAAACACCACAAATGCCCAAAAAGTTATATGAACACCCATATGCATACCTTCTAGTGTTATCAAATCTTATGCTTTGTCATAATTGTTTATATTTTCAAATTATAAAACGTTACAGATCCATTTGAAGCTCTCCATGTACCAATCTGTAAGTGCATTATATAAACATAGATGTATATATAATGTTAATATATATGTTTATGTAGCATAAAATATATGTTTTTAAAATTCATGCACATAACTTAACTATCCTTTTAAACCTTTTTTAACCTGAATTAGATATATTTTTAAAGAGGTATCCATCCTGTTACATGAATATACTACTTTTATTCTCCTATTGTTTACCATCTAGGATATTACCAATGTCCAGTTTTCCACATTTATAAATAATGCTACCATGAATGTTCTCTTATACGTGACTTCGTATACTTGAGAACTGGTTTCACTAAAAGAATGAGGTGGCAAACTATAATCCTCTAGGCAAATGTGGCTTGTCATCTATAGTCTGCAAGCTATTTGCTCTAAGATTTAAGTGTTTATTAAGTACCCACGTGATAGCTTTAGGTTTAACTCTTGGTTTCCAAAGCCTAACATATTTATTATCTGTCCCTTTATAATGTTGCTGATGCTTGTTCTAAAGTACAACCTAGAAACTCTTGGCTCGCAAGTGTGCTTATTGTCAAATGTGCCATATATTGCCAAAGAACTCTCTGAAGTGGTTATATAAACTTACATTCCACCAGCAGTGTATGCCATCCTGTCGCTCTACATCCTCACTAACACTTTGTGTTTGTGTAATAAATTTTTGTGTAATGCATATACAAGGGGCCCAGCACTATTCTAAGTCATTAACTCAGACACATTTAGCTCATTGACTATCTTATGGGACTTCTAAGTAAATGTTACCAAGTATCTCAATTTTTATCAATCTGATGGGTGTGAAATGGAATCTCCCCATTTTTAGTTGCATTTTCTTAATTACTATCAATAACTTTTAATAAATTTTCAGTTTCTTAGCCATTTAGGAGTCCTCTTCCATGAATTTCCTGCTTGTAATTTTCTTATTAATTTGTAGTTCTTTATGAATTTATAAAAAAAAAATGTTTACTGAGTACTGATACTGAACAGACAAAAATCCCAGACTCTAAGGAGTTTACATGTTTGCAGGGAAGGATAGCTCATAATCAAATAAGTAAAATATTTAGTATAATAGAATATAAAGCAGAGTTGGGAGTAAGATATGCTTGGGAGGGGTATACTTTTAAATAGGATGATCAGGGAAAGTCCTATGAAAGGTGACGTTTGAGGAAAAAGCCCAAAGGAGGTAGGGAAATAAACAAGTCACAGAGATTGGAAGGTGTAGGTAGAAAATACAACTGTAAAGCCCTGAGGTGGAAATAGGCCTGGCTTACTCGGAAAACAGCAAGGAGACCAGTCTGGGTGGAGCAGGGTTAAGAAGCCACAATTTTAACACATTCTCATAAGAGAACTTAGGGCCTTTTTAAGAATCAAGTACTCCAAATTGAGAAACACTGGTGTTTCCAATCCCATAGTGTAGTTTCACTTAACTTATTTTATTATCATTTTCCGAATGGTTTTATTTTAATTCACAAGAAAGAAGGTGGGAAAGATGGTAAAATAAATCTGTCATGTTTATCTTGTTAACATTTAAAAAAGGAAAAAGGAATCTTTCCCATTAATTTTTTGCCTTAAATCTACAAAGTCTGAATTCTATGATTTGAACGTTAATAAGTACGCTTTAAAGATTTATTCTATTTTTCTAATACAGTGATTTTCATAATTTTCCAACTTTGTTAATTCAAATCTGCAATAGTTGAGTTTTTAGGAGCATAGGATATTCATCAAGCCAATCACCATATTACCAGTTTGCTGGCAGCACATCCATTAAACACATAACATGCTGGCATCAGAATGATTCGATTTTCACATCCACAACAGCTGTTAGGTCTATGATATCCCTAGAGAGCCTCTGAAATCCATCTGGAGGAGCTCAGATTGAGGAAGACATTGTTCCATTTCCTGCTAAACTTCAATATTCCCACTAAGTATAGAATAGTGCTCATGGGCACCTTTTTTCAACAACAATAAAAAAAGGTAATTCATTTTCTAAGGTCTATGGTTCATTCTCAAATATGTGTGCCTATCTCCTATAGGCACAAAGGGGGAAGGAAATTCCCCCATCCTCTGGGTGCTTCTTGGGCTGGACTGGCAAACAAATTAACATCAGAAAGATTATTAGGAAGAAAGACCAAATGAAAGGGAAGCGGGTGAAATGAGGGACTGAAGGAGATAGGAGGGGAAGTAGGAGATGACTTCATAGGACAAAAACTTGCCTCTAGATATTTGCCCTACCTTAAGATAGGTTTCTGTGATTACAGGTTATTTCTGGAGATGACCCTTAATCTGGGTCGTCTTCATTCTTTTAGGTTATGACCGCAGTTTCTCCTGAGACATACAGGGCCTTGACTGACCTTAGTTCCATATACCAAAATGACATGTATTGGAAAAAACTTGACCTTGACATCTTGAGAAAAGCCTGTCTAAACATTTTGGGAAGCCTGATCCTACACTGCTAACTACCTACTAAAAACTTTCTGCCACCCAAAAAACAGCCTTCAACTAGGCGCATAATGCACTATACCAATAAGATCCTTTTAATTTCTACCACTTCCTGTGAGACAGAGAATGTCATATGAAACCTCACTTCTGAACAAAAAAAAAAATGACTTTAACTAGTACCATATAAGTACAAACATTGCTTTAAAAGAATTCTCAATAACCCATTGTAAATAGGTTTTTCTCCCCTTCTAGGTTTCTTTTTTTTTTTAAGATTTATTTATTTGGGGTACAGACCAGAGGTGTGGGAGGTAAGAGGATTCACCAGAGACAGAGCAAGGAACAGAGCAGGCAGACTGACTGAAATACACTGCTGAGGGGAGCAGCGGGCGAGTCAGGAGAGGTCTGCTGCGCCATGTGGGTTCCTCCCTGGCCAGGGATCGAACTCATGCTGCTAAGGCTGCAGATAGCTTCATAGGTTGCATCTTAACCCCTTGCGCCACCAGGGAGGCCCCCCTTCCAGGTTTCTTGTAATAAAACATCTGGGTTTAAGGCTGAACAACCAAGATTCATTCAAAAACAAATTTTAATGTCTGAATTCTTAATACATGAAAAGGAAGTATTAGAAAACAGCCTAAGAAAGATCTTCAAATTACAGACCTAAATTGTATGCACTTATAGGTAGAAGGGCTAAAGAGCAGAGTATATGTTGAGGAATAATATATGCCCCTTGGCTGTTCACTAGGTTTTCTAGCATGGTGGTTACTGGCTATGGTGGAATTATCAAAGGTTCTGAGCTATCCACTTAGGTTACTACAATTTCTTTTTTTTTTTAATAATAAATTTTATTTTTATATTCCCCATACAATTGCAACCCCCATTCTGACCCCAATCCCTCCCCTCCCGCCCCCACCCCCCAAAAAGTGTCTCTGGTTCATAGTTTTTTGTTGATTTTGATTTTCACTTTCTTATAGTTATTCATTTTCCTGGTCCCTTATTTAAGTTTTCTAGATTCCTGCTATGAGTGAGACCATCCGGTATTTTTCTTTTTCCTTTTGGCTTATTTCACTGAGCATGATCCCTTCCAGTGCCATCCATGTTGCTGCAAATTGCATGTGTTTATCTTTTTTGAATGCTGAGTAATATTCGATTACAAGCAATATTATTTAGTATATCACAACAGCTAATTTTAAGCACTCTTGATTTCTCTTTCCCACTATTTAATTCTACTGTGACTTTCCACATTTCATTCTCTGATGTCTACAGCATTTTTAGCTAGAACCAATATATCACCTTTTTCCACATCACTATGTCTACCTAACCATCTCACTAGAATCATACTCTATTTTCCACCGAGGTGTTCTGTCAACATCTCTAATTTATTATATTATCCTCACATAAACCTCTTGGTTTTGCCTGACCAATCCATTTCTTTTTCCTTCCTGCTATTTCTATGCTAGCTCAACACAAATTTCTCTTTTTTTTTTTTAAGATTTATTTATTTATTTATTTATTTATATAAGCACTGGGGTATAGTCAGAAGCGTGGGAGGGTGAGAGAATTCACCAGAGCCAGAGTGGAGAGCAGAACAGGCAGACTGATGAAATACACTGCTGAGGGGAGCAGCGGGCGGCAAGAGAGGTCTGCATGCCCAGCAGCCGGGGATCAAACCGGCGCTGCAGAGGCTGTGGCAACTTCACAACCCAGTGCTCAACTGCTGCGCCACTGGGGAGGCCCTCAACACAAATTTCTTTGGAAAACCACCTTTCTGACATGTGATATCCCCAGTTAGTTGTTCTCTGCCTGGAATTTAATTCTTCAGCTGGAATTGACAGCCTGAAAATGATTAGAGTTCATGATTCTAATGCCAGAACTATAAAAGTAACTGCTCATTAGTTGCTCTTACCCAGGTCTCTAACACTCTCCTATTCTGGTCCTTTCTGAGTTCTGGTTTTTCAGCTTTTTCTTCTTTCTATGAGTTACTGACATCCCCTCAATATTTAAGTTAAGCAATTGATTGCTAATGAAGAACCCTGATTTATGGACCCCTGATATGCTCTCCTCCCAACTTCCTTATTTGTTAGTAATTCTACAACCTTCTCTGTCATATTAGATGAAAACTTTGAGTTTATTTTTATGCTTCCACTTCCCTTGTCCTCATGCAATACATTGATGAGATTTGTAGACCCTAAATATTTCTTCCTTTCTTCTAGATCCATAGTTGCCTCTGAATACACATTCCATTTGACTTAAAGATCAGAGGGTTCAGATTCCCCCAGAATCCAGGCTTAATCTGACTTTTCCATAAATCAGCTATGCTGCCTTGGGCAAGCTAATTTCTCCAAGCTTTCATTTTTTTTATTTGCTAGTAAGTCTATCTTATAAGATTATTGTAAATATTAATCAAGATCATATGGATAAAGTAATTTGCACAGTTTATAGCTTATAGTTGTCACTCAAATTAGTTACTATTGTTATCAATTCACTAGTTTCTAATTGATTAGAAACTGCCTCCATTGATTCTGCCATCATTACACCTCTATTCTAAACCTTTTGATAATGGTACAACTTGTTTAATTTTCATACATGCATGTACTTTAAATTCATGTACCTACTTTAAGCTGATCGCTTTGAAAATTCCCCTTTATTGAATTAAAGTCAGGCCCAAATTGTATATTAATCAAGATCCTCCTTCAATTCTTTACTTAATTTGTATCCCAGATAAATAGAACCACTGACTCTTCCTTGAGTCTACTCTTTCTTATATTTCTTTACTGTTTTATCACTACATTCCTGTTAAATGTCCACCCATTAGAGTCTGAGATGAGTAAATAAATATAAAGCACTTAAAATAGTATCTGGTTCATAGTTAGTACTCTTAGGTAAATGCTACCTGCTATTATTACCATTCAGTACCTATGAAATGTAATGCATGAGGCCAGGAGGTGAAGGAAAGGGTAAAAATATATCTAATCATCAAAAAAAAGTAAGAACAAAAATCCTACACATTCTGGAGTTCAGGAATATAAAGGTGAATAAAACATAACTATTGTCCCCAAGGATCACAGCCTTGAGAAGAAACATCATAAATATGAGAATGCTATCTGTAGACCATGTACAAAGGCATTTTGAAAGTTTTGTACAGATCCTGGCAAATCTCTCATATGTAACAATTGTAACATATAATTTTAATTTGGGGGAGATATCCTATTTTTCTTCAAAGTCCATTTCAAATCCTTCAGCCATGAAGATTTTTTTTCCATTTTCCTAAAAAAGAAGCCCTTCCCATGCATATAGTATATTGTACCTATCTTAGAACACTCATTACTGTTCATAAACTTACTTTATTCACATTACTGAATTATAAGCTTTAAGAATTGTATCTTGCTCATCTATATACACTCCAAAGTGTATATATAGCACCATGATCTGCATATTATATGTACTTAATAAATTCTTTAAAATTTAGTAGCGTTGGGCCTCCCTGGTGGCACAAGTTTCAGCACAATTAAGCTATGGGCAGCCACTGCAGCACAAGTTTGATCCCCAGTCAAAGAGCTTACCCATATGGTGCAACAGACCTCTCCTGTCTTGTCCGCTGCTCCCCTCAGCAGTGTATTTCAATCAGTCTGCCTGTTCTGTTCCCCACTCTGTCTCTGGTGAATCTCCTCACCCGCCTGCATCTCTGGCCTGTACCCCAGCTCTTGTATGCATAAATAAATAAATCTTTTAAAAAAAAAGGTAACTGTCTTTCCTATAGGTTATCCATGGAGGTGTTCCTTTCTGCATGGAATAGTATCAGACTATATCATAACATCAATTTAAAGCATTAAAATATATCATTTTTGTACATTTCTACATTCCTCTTAAAGCAATACTTTATTATTGGGTGATAACTAATTCAGAAAGTGATTCTACTTTTTTTGAATGAATTTTCATGGTTTCTAAGTACTTAGGAATTGCTTTGTTTGAATAACTCAAACCTTGAAGAGTTATGCTATATAGATTCACTTACTAATTTTCTTTTCTTCTAAATAATTAACACCATTTTTCATTTGCTTTCTGCAGGCAAATGTGAATGTAAAGAACAGGTATTAGGAAACCCCAAGGCATTCTGTGGAATGAAATACTCATATGGTGAGTTCAAACCAAATGCTGCTTGAGAATCTATTCTTGAGTGCTTCTAAGAATCTATTCAAACTTAGTACAAAGATTTTTTTTTAAGGAAATGAGTGGTCCAGTTTATGACATTCTTAATAAATCAAAGAGTAAGTTTTACATAATAATACCAAACAGTATTCTGGTCTTGAGCTAGATTTTTCTAATAGAGATAGTACTGAAAGTCCTGATGAGGAGCTGGTAGAACAAATGCAAAGATTGTCCAACATTTATAACAGGCAAACAATAAAAGGAGGTTTCCTTTCTTACGGGTGCTTCTTGTCTTGGTTAACTAAAAGGGGCATCTCTTGTCGCCTAAACAATTCCCATACTAGTTTATTATGTAGTGATAATAAAGTTTAAAGTGGTATTTCACAGTGATAAAGAGCTGAAAGCTTCAGACTCAGACTTACATGGTTTGATTGCTGGTTTATTGGATGGGTGACTTAATCTCTCCAGACTTACACATCTGTAAAATAGGGATGATGCCACCTTTCCCATCAAATGAGATTTTTAAAAAAGCACTTAGCACATTAACTTGCATATACTAGATGCTCAGTAAAAGACAGGGAGGAGAAAGAGGATATATATTTGGAAGGCAATGAGACCAGCTGCCTCCTAAGTCTCTTGCCTGCCCTCTCTGTATGCTGTATACACCTTTACCTTTCTAAGATGACAGGAAAACAGCATATAGTAAAGATTTTCCCTAAGTAAAGATTGATCTTATCTTCAAATTTTAGTTGGTTTTGTCTTTCCTATAAAATATATTATATTCCTTCTCTTGCCAACATATTCTTCACTAGTGTCTGAGGCTTTTTATTGTTTATAATTCATACAGTTGTAATGTGCATTAAAATGAAAAGGAAAAATTTAAACCATGCTTCCTGACACCAAGTGTTAAGGTTCTTGATAACATTGAATGTAGTCTCATTAAAGATAAAAAAGTAATGTTAAAAACCTCATAAATCCTATCTAAAATTACATGCATATTCCCCTACTTTCACCTGCCAGCTTCATTAAATAATAAAAGGAAACCTTTAAAATGTATAACGCCCAATAAATAAAAATAAATTTAGAGCAAAAAAAAAAAATAGGTTTTGTCCCAAATTAGTCTATTGAATGGAAAGATTGACTGGTTTTCATTATCACACGGATTTGGCAACTTTCAAACTGAATTTATAAACAACCTAGTTGGCATCTTTTCATACAATTGTATTATTTTCTACTTAAGAGAAACTTAAGTGTTCATAATGATATACCTTGGTCTTAATTAAGTGCAGTATGAGTTAGACTAGATGAGACTAGATGACTTAATTAAGACTAGATGAGTTCTTAAAACCCCTTAGAAGTCTAAGATTTGGTGATTCTAAAAAGAGGGTTGTATGGCACCAGCCTGTATAGGTTTCCCTCCTTGCAAAGAATCCTCCACTGAGATACAGATAAGCCAGTAAGAACTCTCCTTATAATGTTGAACATGTTTTTCCTTAGGTCAACTTTCTTCTCCACCCCCATTTATCATATTTCTAAATCCCCAGTTATAGTCATTGTTTTAAATAGAAGAGCTAAATAGAATCATGAGTGATATAGAATACTAGAGCTCTGACATCACTAAGACAGCCTCCCTAATACCAGTCAATTTGTATTTTATTCTAAAGGAAGAAGACTAGATAATTAATATTATTTAATCTCCTTAGGATACTTGAAATATATTCTGGCAATAACATTTTGATCTATGTCATATCATTAAACACAACCAGGCATAAAAGTATAATATAGTTGTAATCCAAATTAAAAAAAATTAAAAACCAGATATTTCTACTTCCAATGTATCTTTGTTCTATTTAGATTTGCTAACTGAATGTGCTTAAGATTATGTTTTCAATATGCAAATGGCTGATTTTTCTCTTAGCATACAGATATGGGACTAGCAGTTGAAAATGTCTAAGAAGAAAGAATATAGTTAATACAAATAATGAGATGAAGCCAGTGTATAACTGAATCTAATGATTTTTAAAGCAAATTTCTACATTTTCATCATCATTAGTTCACTTTTCCATTATACTGTGTGATGCATATGTAAGTTGTTCAAATATCAAAAGGTAATATGAAATTCTATACATTTTGACTTTGGGAATTATGTTGTTACAGTGCTAAAAATAAAGATTTTATCAGCTCATGATAAAGGATCTCATGCTGAGGTCAATGTGAAGATAAAAAAAGTATTAAAATCCACCAAATTGAAAATATTACGAGGAAAGCGAACATTATATCCAGAATCATGGACGAGCAGAGGCTGCACTTGTCCAATCCTCTATCCTGGTGAGCATTAGACTTTTCTGGTTTAATAACTAGGTGATTTGCTGCTTGTCCTGGTGATTTGCTGCTTGTCCTACATTCTCTGAATTACAATCTAAATAAACTCAGCAAGCACATCTCTTCTTTTTACCATCTGAATTTTGGGCAAAATCCAAATGGAATTCTTTGAACTGACATCAAAAAATTATTTCTCTTCCACGTTTTATAAAAGTAAGATATTTAAAATCCAACAATGTAATAATCTCTGTCCTAACATAGAAGAAGCCTTATATGGTTCGAGATGCCAATAGCATAGAAACCACTTTCATGAATTCATCTGCCAATAATACTTTATCGGAAAGCTAGGTCCCATTACAGTGCCCTGGGTAGAACTTGCTCCCAAAGGAAGTTCACATGCAAAAGTCCATCTGTGCAAATAACATTGAATTCATTTTTACTGTTGTATGAGAAGCATCTGTTTCTCCTAGATAGGAAAACAACTCTCAAGTTCACGTCATCTTGTTTTTCATTAAATGATCATTCTGGTTTCAAATTAGAAACAGCAGAACCAAACAAACAAAAAAACTGTAGCATTTTAGAGAAACTTGAAATGAAGGGAAAACTGCACCTTAAAATGTTATGGCACAGATAGAGACAAACAAGTGCAGGATTTTTACCTGTACACCCTACAGGTACATTCTTCATTCTGGGTCATTGGCTGCTTCTTTCTCTGTCTCCCTTATTAAATTGAGGACAGGATTTAGATTTTTGATCCTAGTGTTTCCAGCACCTACCATTAGTACCCAAATAATAGTAACATCGCCCAGATAGTCAGTTCTAGTAAAACATAATTTTTTTTAATCCTCTGTTGTTGTTCCCGGGTTATGTAGTACTATGATAGATAGCACAGGTGCATGATTTATGTTCTGAATCAAATTCTTTCCAAATGTAAGTCCTGAAAACCACAGTTATGTTAATATGAAGTTATTTTTGCTCTTTGATTAATAAATTTGAAAGAAATGGACAGAAAACAGGGAGAGACAAACCGCCAATAAAATATTCCCCCAACTTAAACAATTTTAATACTACAAAACTCGACTTTTTTGACTATTAACTAATTTCTCAGATCCTTTTATACTGCTCCAGTATTTTAAGTAAAATTAAATTTTAATTTAAGGAAATTTAAATTTAATTTAAGGAAATTTAATTTTAATTTAAGAAAAGGAAACATACATTTTAAATAATAAATAGATATATTTCCAAAGAAGTGAAATATTCAGAACCTTGGATTTTGAATACAGGAAACTAAGAGTCGCTCACTGAAGTTCTATTTCCCAGTGATCTGTCTGGTGGGGCTCTTGCTATAAGCTCTTTCTACTGTCTTGGCAAAAGAAAATAAAAAAAAGAAACCCACCCAGTTTTTTAGTAAGACATTAAAAACAAAAGCTTTGACCATCTGAGCCACCCTCCAGGAAGTGAACTATACTTCCTAATCAGGTTTCTGCCAAACAGTCAAAGAATCAACTGAGTTCATCACAATTGAAAACATAAGCTCAATTATTCAAAGAATTCTTGAAAACATGTTTACTTGCTTTGAAGAAAAGATTGGAACCTGTCAAAGCAAAACCACTCTTTCATTTCACTTTGTTTTTCCATTTTTACAAGTTCAGTAGCTAAGGCCAAGAAAGTTGATAAGAAAACCTGAAATCTTACACGCCAACTTGCTTCCTTTGCTACTTTTGAAAAAGAAGCAATCTAATCTAAGTTCCCTGCAAATTCATCCACTCCTACATTCAAATATACATTTACTAATTCATCAATCATATATATATATATATATACACATATATATAGTTTTTATTGAGGTAACATTGTTTTACATGATTACATTTTGAAAATACAGGTGTTATTACCATAGTGCACCCATAGTCCACCACCAAAGTTCATTGTGTTTCCTTGCCACTCTGTTCTTACTCCAGTCTCTTCCCCTCCCCTCTCTGGATTCCTCAACTCTATAGTCATCTTTCAAGTTTTTAAGTTTGGTTTTATCTCACCCTTTGTTTGCTTTCTCTGTATTCCACCTCTAAGTGACACCATCTGGTATTTGTCTTTCTCCTTCTGACTTATTTCTCTTAGCACAATTCCTTCCAACCCCATTCATGTTGTTACAAATGGCAGGAGTTTGTCCTTTTTGATTGCTGAGTAATATTCCAGTGTGTGTATATAAACCAAATATTCTTGATCCATTCATCCATTTTTGGTCCTTAGGTTGCAACCATATACTTTAGAATGTGAAGAAATGTGAAGACAAGCACTGAAGTATATTATTTTCTTTTTCTAAGGATACAAAATAAATGTTATACCCTTGAGTATGTAGCAAAGTACCTATCAAAAGTATTGAAATAGGAAAATAAAATGTAAATCGTAATGTGATGCAACAGATAACATTTTCATGCTTGTTTTTGGCTTGATGCTACCCATAATTTATGGATTAGTCATTGTTAAATTTCATATCATTTTTGTTTAATTATATGTATCTTTTAAATTAATGGCAGGGCCTCCCCAGTGGCAAAGCAGGTTGGTTGAGCAGAGCACTGTGAAGCTGTCCGCAGCCTCTGCAGTGCCGGTTCGATTGCCGGTTGGCCAGGGAGATTCCCACAGGGTGCGGCAAATTTCTCCTGTCATACCCACTGGCTCCCCTCAGCAGTGTATTTCAGTCCTTCTGCCTGTTCTGCTCTCACCCTCCCATGCCTCTGGCCTGTACCTCTGGCCTGTACCCCAGTGCTTGTAAAAAATAAATAAAAATCTTTAAACTAATGAATTAATTAATTAATTATTTAATGGCAAGCTCCTATAATATTTATTGTACTTCTAGTTTCTAAGCAAGTTCATTAAAAAGACTAGACTTAACACTGACGCTTCCTAAAAATTATTTTTAAAAGTGATTTCATTATTTCAGAAATGATACAATCTCAAGACCACTATATTTTAGCCACTCTGTTAATTAAATATTGTATTTTTTTTAATATAGAAGCCAAGGTAACCCTTTAAGGATTTAAATACCACATTCTCCATCCTACATTTGTGCTCTCTAGTGTTTGAAATCTCTGTCATTTTCCCCTCTCTTTTTTTGAAAACACCATCACATTTTTCTTTAAGTTTAGGACTGATTACTTTAAATATTGTTTCAAATAACCCTTTTTAATATCATAGAAGCAACTATATTATAGCAATATAGGAGAAAATTTTAAGCTTGACATTTCTAACCCTTAAAAATCATCTTTGTTAACATCTTAGTGTAAATCCTTTCAGATTTTGCTCTCTGCAGATATATATTGTATTTTTAAGTACAATAAAATCATTGTTTATGGCCCGTTCTACAAACTACTTTGTTAATGATCTTTACATTCAGTTTTAGTTTACTTTCATATAATCTAATACTTGAACGCTATTCAGATTTCCCAGCTGATTCCATAAGTCCTTTACAGCTGGTTCATCCTGGCCAGTATTCAATCCAGAATCACATGTTGTACCTGGCTTTTAAGTGCCACAATTCTCTTTTATACAAGTACATTGGTTTACTTTTTTTATTGTTGTTGAAGTAATTATTAGTGTTAAGGAACTAGGCCAGGTATACTGTAGAGTATCCAATTTTCTATAACTGGCTGTCCAGTCCCTTGTGGTGTCATTTAGGTTGCCCCTCTACCCCCTGTATTTCCTATAATCTCTAAAAAGAGACTTGAGAAAAACCAATTTCACAATATTAAAATAGGCATCCTGCATTTGTAAACAACAAAATATATACATTTGGAAAGTAAAAAGCATGTCTTAAATGCTAAGTTAGACATTAAAATGTATAGTTCTTAAAAAAAGAAAAACTTGGGGGCCTCCCCTAGTGGTGCAGTGGTTGAAAAAAAATTTAAATAAATAAATAAATAAATAAATATTTGGCTGGAATTCATCATTAGATGTTGTTGAATCCCATCAGAAGACACACTGACCCTGGATGACCTACTATCACTGTTGCTGAACTTGACCCTTGGGTTGGAGGGAGGACAGTCAAGTCTGTCTACTAGGTTACTAGGCAGTTTTGTTTTCCCTTTTGAGTCTAGAAAATAATGAGTGTGGTGTTACTTAGTCACTATACAAACATGTTTGTATAGTCACTATACAAACATCCAGTTTCCCATTAAGCATCCATTTAATGATTTATCACCAGTTTATCACCCTTCTTGAATCAATAATCTCATTACAGTTTGAAAAACTTTTTTTTTTCCTAATTTCATCTAATTCCCTTCATTTAAGAAACTTTTCTGAGGATCTTTCTCTCCCAAGCTGAACTGTTAGGTTACCATGAAATACATTTCCTATTGAAAAGACAGGATAATGCTAAATTCTTCCTCCTTTAATTTCCAATTTTCAAATTAAGAAATAATTTTTTAAAGATTTATTTTATTTATTTATGCATACAAGAGCTGGGGTATAGGCTAGGGGGATGAGAGGATTCACCAGAGACAAAGTGGGAAGCAGAACAGGCTGAATGACTGAAATTCACTGTTGTGGGGAGCAGCAGATGAGACAGGAGAGGTCTACTGCACCATGTGGGTTAGCTTCATAGTGCTGAGACTTATCCCCTTGTGTCCCCAGGGAGGCCCCAAATTAAGAAATACTGTTAACAACTGCTTCAAATGATAATGGATTAGTTTTTCTTTTTCTCTTTTTTTGAGTGTCATTTTGGCATGTGAATTTCTATTGATTTGGTATCTTTCAATACACATAACTATGATGTTTCCTGGTGCTCAAATTATCACAGCTTTGGCAAGTTATAACCCCTTCCAGCTAGCTCCTATGTCCTTTTAAAATGATTCTCTAAGTAAAAATAAAAAAATATTTTTCATTAAAAAAATAAAAATGTAAAGCAGAAAAAAATAAATAATTCCCCCTGGGCCTCCCCGGTGGCGCAGCGGTTGAGCGCTGGGTTGCGAAACTGCCCGCAGCCTCTGCAGCGCCGGTTCGATCCCCGGCTGCTCCCCGGCCACTGGAGGAGGGTCCCACATGGCGCACAGACCTCTCCTGCTGCGCCCGCTGCTCCCCTCAGCAGTGTATTGCAGTCAATCTGTCTGTTCTACTCCCTGCTCTGGCTCTGGTGAATTCTCTCACCCTCCCGCGCTTCTGACTGTACCCAGTGCTTGTATAAATAAATAAATAAATAAATAAATAAAAATCTTAAAAATAAATAAATAAATAAATGATCCCCATTAATCCTTGAAAGTTTCCCTGATTTTTAGCAAAACAAGATGTCCATGCTTACCTTCTGTCTTCCTGTCCTAGACCCGGAATAAGCTGTTCTCCAAGAAGTATTGCTTTGTTTTCTTTTGTTTTCTTTTATTTTGTTTTGTTTTGTTTTGTTTTGTCTTGTAAGATTTATTATGTGAGACCACAGTGTGTCTATTATAGGTATTCATTACTACTGGGATGACATTTTTTAGGACATTTCAGTGAATAAGCAAGTGTGTGTGTGTGTGTGTGTGAGAGAGAGAGAGAAAGAGAGAGAGAGAGAGAGAGAGTGTTTTACAATCAGACAGACCTGAGCTAGTCGGAGGGCTACTACTTACTGGGAGACAAGGAACAGGTTTTTTTTTAATTTTGCTGAGCCTCAGTTTCCTCATTTGTAAAACAAGAACAATACTACTGACATCATGGGGTTATTTTCAAAATTAAATGAGATAATCATGCTAAGCAGTTAGCACATAGTACATGCTTATTAAATTCCAGCTATTATTGCCTATGACTTTTCTCTTTAACCATGAAGATATAAAACCTTGGACAATGCATTTATAAAACTGTTGAAGTCACATATACTCCTTCAATAAATTATGATACTACCTAGCCTCTAATTTTGCTCTCTTTTAGGTTTGCAGTACCTTGTAGCAGGACATGAAGATGTAAGAACAGGCAAACTTATTGTGAATATGAAAAGTTTTGTCCAACGCTGGAAACCATCTCTTGGAAGAAAAGTCATGGATATTTTAAAAAGAGAGTGCAAGTAGCAACAAAGGTGGATAGCACATAATGGCACTTCTCTATGTAGAAAAACACAAACTTAATGGAAAGGAGACCTCAAAAATGAAACTGGAATTTTTTAAAGTGCCAAAATGTATAGAAATGTTCCAATGCATGGGTCTTGTCTAACCTACTCTTTTGGGCCCATGTTAAAATATAGTTTATTTCATAAAGAGGAATGAAAAAACCTATGCTGATACCTGTTTTCTATGAGACTGATTCTGAAATTCCTAACCATTAAGAGTATTTTAATAACAGTATGATATTTAGCAGTAATTCGTTAAGGGCAATACATTTAACAAGGACTCCTCCCATTTTCAGATATGTTAGTTACATTTGTGCTACTTAAAGTAATTAATGAGATTTTAAGGAATCCCTAACCCTGCTATCAGAAAAGGTATTTCTTAAAAAGAGCCTTCTCTTAAATGATACATGTGAACTTTGATCTGTGAGGTTTTAAATGGAACCTCTCCACATGTACATAGTATTTCCTTGTATAAAGCACTTTACTACCTAATACTTGTGTTGTGAAAGTTTGGAGACTGCTGTTGCAGAAAGAAAAGGAAAGGGTGAGAAGAAAAACCTACTGAAACAGAAGCACTGCCACGGTGGACCCAAGTGATCACATAAAGGGAGTCGTGCTGTTTTACTCTGAACTCTTGGAGAGCTATGTGAAGATGCAGCCTTAAAGGAAAAATTTGCATGAAGTCTCAGCTTCAGGCTAGAGGTTAGATTCCACAGATACCAGCTGTGATGAAACTTTTTTAAATACTAAATAAGAAGAGACTTTAAAATATGAGGAAGAAATTATAAAAATAGAAATATGCTTGGATAAAGAGGAAATGGACTTAAACATAAAAAGCTCATTTATTTGCAATGCACTTGTAAACACTTCAAAAATTATTGTAGACACAGAATTTGTTTTATTTTTGTGTTTAGTATTTAAACCTGAGTAATTGAAAGAGTTTCCTCCTTGCCTTTATTAACAATATATGGTCATTATTTACTGTAGTCATTATTTGGACACAGTGTATGTGATGGTTCACCAAATTAAAGTTTTTCATTAGTATTCAACTTCTGTACCCATGATAATCACTATACATAGTTTCTTCTGTACTTGAATATACAGAACATGATCCACAGTGCCATAAGATTAACTTCACGTACAGAACTTTTTTTTCCCTGAGGTCCTGTGGACTTGCAAAAAATATATATATATTGCTTTGTTAATTTTTTTATATTGCATATATGTAATAAAAGAATATGATCTCCTAAGTTTTGTCTCATTTCTTGCCCAACTCTTTCAAAGCAACTAAGAACGACCTCTCTTAATAAGGGAATTCAAATTAAATTCCTCAAATTATAATTAAAAATCAAACATGGGTATTATATAATTACCCTATTACTCTAAGTTTTAGGGATAGAGTAGAAACTGAGTCAGATGGGTTTACTTTCTGCAGTCATTGAACAGGATTTTTTTTCATCAGGTACATTATATTTTACATAATACAATTAGTTTTTAACCAAATAGAAATATAATAAAAGTATACTGCTGAAAATACCAAAAAAAACACTATAGTTAAAAAAAATAAACCTGTATTATAGCCATCCTGTGAAAATATTTTAGTGTCTTTGCAGCTGGTCTGTTTTCCATGCAAATACATACCTTTCATGGAATTGGTATTATACTATATATACTTTCATGAAATCTGCCTTTATCACCTTTAATATGTCTCAGCTTCTTATCTTATCCTAGTAGGTGGAATGTGTCTATTTATAAAACATATTGATAAGTCTATCATACCAGAAAAAAAATATTTTAAATTCATCTAATATAGGATTTTCTTGAGTTTCAATATTGCCAAGTTGCCTTATTTTTCCATTTCATTATATTTAAAATAACCATTACCCATTAAAAAGAAATTTAAATGGTTATTTTAAAAATGAACAGAAAGATGTCCATTATATTATTTTTGTGTAGGAAAAATGCAGAGCAATACATATAGTATTAGCTCCCATCCCCAAAACACAGTTATAATATATACAGTATTTTTAAAAATCTGAAAAATAGATTACTGTTATACTAGTCCTTATAGAGGAAAAAAGAGAGATTTTTTTCCTTTTAATTTACAGTTCACTGATTATTCATACTTAGCAATTTGTCTTTTAAAACAATTATAATTTAATCAACTGCTTTTAAAGTATACTCAAGCAAAATCACAACTAAAAGTTTAATTGGAACTAGTATACCAAATTGCTAGGCTCCCATACGTCTTTGCAGCCTTCTTTGCTAGAATCTTATTCCTTAACTGCTCTTTCAATCACCTTTTCTGGCAATATTCAAAAAAAAAAAAAACCAGCTAACATAATAATTTCTTGGTATCTTGCTTCTTATATCACTTGCAACCCCTTCCCCTGTAGTTTTCATTTCTTATGAGCATCATTTGGCTTCTAAAGTGAAAAAACAAACAAACAAAAAACAAAAAGGGACAAAATGTCTGTATTCCCATTCGGTAAAGTAAACAATAAAACAGAGCATCGGCTAGCCGCCTCATGACCCCATTCCATCATTCCATCATTCCATCATTCTCACACACTTCTGTATACACTTTCTCCTCCTTGGCATCTTTCAAAATAACCATCTTAGTACCAAGGCAACATAGTCAAATGAAATTTCCATCTATGGTTGCATGTGAACCTGAGCACATCCTTCAAGGGTGACTGGGAAAGTCTCTGCCCCCAGAGTTTCACTCCCTATACGGTTGGGCTTTATTAATCAGCAAATTAGTTGCATAATCTCCACATACCTATCTGTATAATTGCCTGAGGTCAACCCCATCCATGTTCTCTTATTACATCATTTTTCCCACAGAGGAATGTTACTAATACTTAGTATTTGATGCAATGGAAATTCTCAATAATGGGATAATCTTTTAATAGTGTCCACGAAATGAGGTCAAATCTATGGGGATGTGACCACGAGTCCAAAAAGCAGAGTCCATCTGGCTATATTAAACAGAAAGCCAAGCCTATTATGGGTAAACATGGTTTTTTGGGACTCTCTAGGTTCTTGCAAAACAAATCCTTTTCTAAATGATCAGAAACTTATTAACTCTGAAGGGTGGGAAAAAGAACCTTGACAATTCCTTGGGCTGGCTGGCCTTTCACCACTCCCCTGGAATGCCTGAGAACAAGGAGCATGAGTACCGCCTGGGCTGCTGAAGAGTTTTGTCAGAGGCCCAGGACCGAATTGCTTTTGTGTCCTTTGTTTCAATGATAAGCAGTCCCCTAACCTAACTTTATCAAAGAACCAAAGTTACTCATGACTTATTTCCCACAGTTTGGAAGGAAAATATTTATGAACAACCTTAATTTTGCAGGGGAGATTGGTATGATAAAAATGGAATAGAAGCAAAGGGGTGTGCCTTGCATGACTGATGTTTTTTTAAGTCTCTCAGAGAATGATTTGCCTGAGAATACTTTCTGAAATATGATACCTTAATCTCTGCTTTCCTACACTTTCACCACAGGGATTTAAACATTTCTCTACTTTCTGAGCATTAGTGACAGTTCAACACCTTCAATATTTTAGGACAGATTCCTAGATTCATTATTAGCCATCTTATGTATGCTGAAAAATTGAAAAAGCAGAATGTTATTCATAAAAAAGAAATATGCACTGGGCCAAAATGACATTTCCAAAATGCATGTTCTGTAAAAAGGGGATGTTAATAAATGGTGAATACCTCTCTGGTTTCTTAACAGAAGTCATAGAGATCGTTTTCCAAAGTGTCATTATTAGTAATGAATTAATAAATCCAAGAATATCCACGATTTATTGGGAATGATCAACCCATAATACAATTATTTGATTAATGGTGAATTATGTGAATTATGCGAAATAAAGGTAAACAAACCCTGCATCCCAGAAAGAAAAAATCACCATCGGCAAATTTTCACGGTGTATGTGAAATGGTCTGGCCACAAACTCCCTGATCATTTTCTTTTTAGTCAGAATATCACCAAGCATTTCAAACTTGGTGAATAAAAATAAAAGATAACAACAATATCAATCAAGAATTGAGAGTTGACCACAAGACAGACACTTCTCAAAGTGCTTTCTTTACCTGTGTTACCCTTATTTGATCTTCCTAAGTAACCCTGAAGTGCATGATATCATCACCTCCATTTCTCAGATGAAAAAACTGAGATACAAAGAGACTGAGTTATCTAAGGACACACAGCTAATAATTGTGAAAACTTATTTTGAACCCAAGCTTTCTAACTCGCAGTTAGGAGGACCCTGGCATTCAGAAAGAAGTTCATGTAAGGTGAAACCAATTATACTATTTTCCTCTATGGCCATGTATTTTAGATCATAGTTGAGGGACGAGAACTGAAGGTGAGCATTTCTCCCAGTGTCCCTTCTCCACACTCCAAATTAAAATGTATCCCATTATTCCACTGTATAATTACATAATCTACTACCTTTCTCATTGCTACATTGCCATTTGGGTAATATTGTTTCACATAATTTATACGAAGATGAAAGAGTTAAGCCAATTATTTTACCTTAACTCTTTTCATCTTGGTCTGGTTTTCTGAGATCTATTTTGCTACAAGATCTGTTTTTTTTTTTTGCATATGTCAATAATGACCCTGAACAAACAAATGTGAAATTTATCAGCATTTCGAACAGTTCTCTCAGCTTTGGGTTTTCACTGTGTAATTATTCTGCTTGCAAGATGAAGGAGAAGGAATTAGACCAGAAATGACAAGAAAACAGGGGGTGGGGGAAATAGAGATAATAGGTACTTTGTCTACCCAGGAGAAGGAGCAAGAGGCAGGAAACAAGGAATAAAGATATGAGAGAATAAAGGGAACAAGATATGGAAAAGGAACCAGGTGGTTTGTTCATCCAACTCTTGCTGTTAGTTGGATTTGAGCAGACAGTAAAGTCAAAGAAGACACAACAGAAAAAATCATAGGTAATATTAATATTAGGAAATTAATATTAGGAAATCAATTGTTTTTGCCATGTGTTGAAGTAAAAGTTAATGTTTATCTTTGACATAGTACCTAGTCAATAAAATATTTAATATCAGTAAACATTGTCTAAGACTCTTTTTCAATATATATACTCATCACCATAATGGTTATCACTTTTGCCTCTATTATGTGCCAGATGCCATATTAAACTTCATATGACTTATCTCCTTTCACCTCACACTATAACCTTGAGAAGTCAGTACTCTTATTAGCTGGAAATTAAGCACCAGGTTAGTACTTGTCCAAGGTAACAAGACAAATAAGTGGCAAAGCTAGGATTTGAATCTGATTCACTGATCATCGCAACCCATACTTTTTTTATTCCATCTTTTATATATATATTTATTACATCATTCTTCATATTTGTACAATGCATGATTTCCCCGTGAAATTCCCACTACATTTCATCTGGCACCATCACCAGAGTCTCTTGTGCTCATTCCACCCCGTCCCAAACCTTCTCCCTCTTCCTCCCCTACAGAATGTCCCTGTCGATTTTGATTTTTCCTTTATTATAGTTACTTTTTTTTTTTCTGATTCCTTATTTGGCAACCCATACTTTTAACCCCTACAAACAACTAAAGTCTCTAATCAATGGGTCTCAAATAATATGCATAAAAGTCAGCAAACATATTTGTTAAAATATGGTATCCTAAGCCCCGACCTCAGAAAATCTGTTTCAGAAGGTCTGGGGGGAGACCAAGAATGGAATCATACAAAAATGAACAATGATGTAAAATAAGTAAAAAAGTATCTCCCTAGAACTATGCCTGAGGAACTAAGACTACTAGAGGGAGAGGAGTTATTTTAAAAAAGTATCTTCCTCTGGTCATAAATCTACTTGGTGTTCATCAGAAATACTATTTGGTGGGTTCCCTGGTGGCGCAAGGGGTTAAGCACCACACTATGAAGCAATCTGCAGCCTCTGCAGCATGAGTTCGATCCCCGGGTGGCCAGGGAGCTACCCACATGGCACAGCAGACCTCTCCTCGCTTGCCCACTGCTCCCTTCAGCAGTGTATTTCAGTACATCTGCCTGTTCTGCTCCCCACTCTGTCTCTTGTGAATTCTCTCACCCCCATGTATCTCTGGCCTTTACCCCCAGCTCTTGTATGCATAAATAAATCTTAAAAAAAAGAAAGAAACATTATTTGGTCATAACAGAATCATTAATAAGCTGAGGTTATCCAAGAATTAAGAGACCAGGAGGGGAAGTTGAAAG